CCGATTCCGATGATCGGAAAATGCTTCCGATACTGGATAATGCCGCGGCGAATCGGTCATCGGCGACTGACCTGGAGCCACACAAAGAACAAACCCGGACATCACGGATACACAAACAAAAAAAAAAAAGAAAAAACAAAAAAAAAAACAAAAAAAAAAAAAAAAATAAACATTTTTCCATTGATCACAATCTATTTACACCCTGCGTTAGTCCGTTGACAACTCATCTGGTACAGACTACTCTTCCCTTCCGCCGTCTTAAAACAGTGCCGCTGTGCTGCAACCCTGCAGCTGCTGGTTTTACGAAGGACGAGGAGCGGCAGTTGACTAGTGACACAGCACGAACAGCCAACACGCTGTCGTCAGCAAGCCGGATTTGACGCGAGGCTTGGAGCCTACCAGCTAAGTAGCAGATATCATGCGGTCGGCGGTGTGGCAATATTTCACAGTGGCACATCTCCACCAAGTTAAGACTGCGACCATGGTAGGTGTGCAAAGATCCAGCATATCTCACCAGGGGTGGCACGCACGTGCTCTGCATCATTCTTTAACAAATCTAACGTTTCAATTCTGCTGTCTGGAACCTACTCGTTTTTGTATACTGCATAACCCTTCATGCTTCTACAATATTCGTGGCTGCACCTTCTATTATCTGACCCAATCCAGATTACTATATTACAGGTCTTCTCAGATTCTATTCTAGCTTTATAGTTTCTGGTTGCACCGGTACTGTTTTTTCTATACCTGTTTTTAATTTAAAAAACGTAATGCTTGGAGCTTCTGCTGTAATTTTATTCATGGGTTTTCAAGGTTTAATGAGCCCAGCGGGCTTGAACCACGACTGATCAATATATCACAGTCATGCAGGCGTAGTAGTCGATCAGTCGTCTTTTTTATAACGGGTTGATCGACTCGGGTCACTACGGCTACCGCCGTGTGCCGCAGCCTACCCACAGCACACAGTTTTGGAATCCGCCGGTACATCGGGAGGCCCCGGCAAGAAAATGCGTATCGGACACGTCTCTCTAGATACTCTTATGCGTATTATCATCTATTAATTTAATTAGTCATGCACGGCGTGTGTTGTGTGCTTTTGTCATCATCATCCGGCTTATCATCACCTAGCTTCTCAGTCCCCTACTAGGTAGCGTGGCTTACACCCC